CTGCTAAGGGTGTTCGGCATCTTGTGCTTACTTCCTTGCGTACGGATGACAGCTGCGTAATTCAAGTAGCGACATTCCTTCCAACACAGATCTTCCGTGTTGATTCACCGTCCAACCCTCAAGACTAAAGTCTGATTTCGAAGAGGGGAGGTGAATACTCTCCTAGAAGCGAGAGGCGGTTCCTGAGAAACTTCACCGCGCCCAAGCTCTTCGTTAGCATGTCTGCCTATTGGCAGTCAGTTCCGATCTTCTTCACGTCCACTACCTTGTCAAGGATTAGGGAACGAACGTGGTGGTACTTGACATCGATGTGTTTGTTACGTTGAGTCAACTTGTTGGACTTGCTATTATAGACTTTAGTTGAAATGGCACCAGTACTATCTTCGTACAATATCGTTGCTTCCTTCAGCTCCCGGTTGATAGTCTGGAGTATGTGGCGCCAGTAGAGGATCATCTTGTAGGCCTTGGACATTGCAAGATGCTCCGCCTCAGCCGACGAGACAGCCGTCACCGTTTGCTTCGTAGCCGTCGAGTCTACTACGCCACCTGCGAGTTCAATAAAAACCCCAGTCGATTTCCTGTCGTCGATGTCGCGTGCAAAGTCGGAATCAACGTAAGCGGTTAGTTTGTCTCCGTTCGATGCGTCCTCGCTGTATGTTATCCCCAGCGATGCGGTTCCCTTCAGGTACCGCATCAGTCGCATTAGCTTAGCCCACGCCTTAGGCCCGGGCTTAGCCATGCTCTTGGTAAGCACGAGTATCGTGTGGGAAATGTCCGGCCTCGATCCCCTAGTCTACATATATATGTATAGAGCCGAACCCGTGGCAGACCGAAACATTGTAGTCTCATCCGACGTCAGAGTCGCTTCCTCCACTGTGCTCATCGGTCCAACCTCCGCCGGCGTCGTCGTCGGGTGCGAGTCGGCCATGCCGAACTTGGCAAGTGCGGCCTTGGTGTAGGTCTCCTGCGTCAAGAAAATAGTGCCCGCGTCGCGGTTGCGCTGGATGGCCATTCCCAGGATGAACTTCGCATCTCCTAGATCCACCGTCAAACCGTCCCTCCATCTGTTCGATAATGGTCGACACTTACTAGTTCTTCGTTGGCCCCAGTGAGCAGAATGTCGTAGCTCTTGAGAGGACATGTTGGAGTATTTGCAGTGCAAGACCGACTCTATTTAGACCCTGACCTGTTATGCATGCTGATGTTTGTGCATAGCTGGGCATTTCGTGCATAAGAAAAAGCATAATAATAAGTTGGAGCGCGCATATATATATATTTAGGATATAATTCTATTTACGTCCCCGGTGGCGTTATTTCTTATTTACGTCACCGCCCGTATCTCAGTCCACAGAGCTTCAATTGGCACAAAATAAATTGCCTTGTGTAGCTATGACCCACACCAATCATACAAGCCTTTCGACGGTCAAATCCGATGAGTGGTTGCGGAGATATGCTCAAAAGGGGGCTCAGCGGTATGATATACTGTATCTGCCATAAATAAAACGACCGTGCCTCCTCGCAGAGAGTTCTCATCGACACCAACTATGTAACTCGCGTTGTGTTTCCACGATTCACAGCCATCACTTAAGCTATTGGTGTCGATCGGAGCTCTCTGCGCGAAGTTACAGTCGGATTTTTTTGTGGTAGATGCAGTATCATACTGCTGAGCCCCCTTTTGAGCAAATCTCCGCAACCACTTATCGGATTTGACCGTCGAAAGGCTTGTTGTTGTATGATTGGTGTGGGTCATAGCTACACAACACAATTTATTTTGTGCCAATTTAATATTTATGGATAAAAGTGTGCATTACAGGGGTTATCGTGCATAGCGGTGATTATGCACGAGTGAGATGGGGGTAAGGGGTGGCTCAGACGCTCAGACAGCTCATTGTAACCAAAACAGAGCTTTTTTATCCCCTTCAAAGCCTCTTGGTCTCTTAACTCTTAAGTTTCAAGTTCACAGATCAGACAACAAATTGTAGACCTTGAGATTGGACATTCGGTGTTAATAACGTTCGTTGTTTAAACCAACCTTGATTACTGTTGATTTAAACTGCTTTCCTTTTGTACAAGAAGAGAGAAAAGACGCAAAGACCAACGACCGAGGACCAAGACCACAGGAACACAGGACACACCGCACATCACTGATTCAGTCATCCTCTGCCTTCATGGAGCGAGTATTTTCTATTCTGCGTGCGTGTATGGACCAGAGGCAGGAGTCGAGCTTCAGCGATCGCATTGCCGCAGCTCCCCTTCTCAAGTACAATAGAGGGTGCGGAGAGTAGTAGTACGGGAGTANTGCTTCCAACGAGGCTACCTTGCCTCGTAGCATCTCAACCTCATCTGGTCTCCCACCAGGATCACCACCGGGAGCATTTTCGCTCCCGTCTCCATGGCTCTCCATTTTCCGAATGGACTCCCTCGAGGGATGGATCACTAGTGTGTTGTATATGTCCGCGACTTGGAAGGGAGAGACTGAATATCGCTTGTATTAGAAACGCAGAAGCAAGAGAAGAGAAGAAGAAGAGTGCTTCCGGAAAACAGAGAAGCAGGGGTCACAAACACAAGAACCCCAAAACAGTATGTCTACGTTCCTATCTGCGACTGTGGCAAACCATCCGTGGGGCATGGTTACACCTGATCAGACCTAGGGNGAAACGCAGAAGCAAGAGAAGAGAAGAAGAAGAGTGCTTCCGGAAAACAGAGAAGCAGGGGTCACAAACACAAGAACCCCAAAATGGTATGTCTACGTTCCTATCTGCGAATATATCCGTTACTGCGGTCGATCAATACCTGTCCGTATCCAAACACACGAACACCCTCCCTGGTTTTTCACGCAAGTGGCAAACCATCCGTGGGGCATGGTTACCCCTGATCAGACCTAGGGACTCTAAACAGTAACGGTGCAAGGGAAAACCCGGCCATCCGGATCAAAAACCCTCGCCTACCCTAAACATATATAACCGTCGCTATCACGGAGGATGCCAACGGCCGCACTTCCAAGTTAAGATCAAGGCAGGACAAATTGTACCGGGCACGGGGATTACGCATCTCTCGGTAGCGCTACGGGCGCTTCTAGGCTCCAACCTCGAGTGACGTGCCGGTAAATCCTTCCT